CCTGTTTCTTGGCTATGGTGAGCAGAGCAGCAGTGAACATGGGGAGCAAGTATCTGTGATGCAGGATGTGAGTCCTTTGAACCTGCGCCAAGGCGTGGAACGCCTGGGCCAGGTGCTGAACGTATTTAATCTGAGGGCTTGTTCATTTAACTGAGGATTCTCTACTTTAATTTTCAGTGTGGCTAGTTTTTTTGTTCATGGCTTTTTAATTTCCTATGGTTTTGTTTTTATGTTGTAGCTCTTTGGATTATTGGTAGTAATTCTAATTTCTTTTTGAGAAATAGTGGTTTGCTGTCCTTCTCATGGATGGTTTTTCCCAAATTCTCCTTTTTGCGTCCATTCTTCACATGAAATTTACTATTTCCCACGTGCTCATGGATGATTCCTCTGACTCTCCTGTGTATGTTTCCCCTCTAATTTACTGTCCGCGGTGCTGCTCCAGTGAAATCAATCGTGTTTATTGGTGACTACCTTGAAATGAACTTATGTCTCCATCCATTTTAAGGCAGTAGTCTTCTTTGTATAAGAAGATGCGTGATGGTGGTTTTCTCTTCAAGCTTCAGGTGTCTTCCATGCTCTCCTGACTTTGGGATCATTGACCAGACGTCTGGTACAATTCTGTTGCTTGCATATTTTCAGGTAGTTTGTCGTTGCTCAGTAACAGCTTTCAGTATTAATTCTAACTCTTCCCCTTTGATTCGAAAGGGAAGCAAGCCATCTATTCATTACTCCTGAAAGAGAAACTCAAAGAAGAAAAACCACAAGAAATGGCTGATTCTCCAGAAAAGCTCTTGCAGGTCAGTGGTCCGTTCCATTCTTTATCTAAAGATGTAATGCATTTATGTCTTGAAAGCCTTTAATTCCCTGCTTCTGACAATTCTTTGAAATTTTATTTATGAACGATTCTGCAAACAGAGAAACAACAAAATCACACACTGAAATTAAGCAGACCCAAAGACTATACAACTCAACGTAGTTCATTCAGGTAGAGTCATCACAGGGAACAGAAGATTTACATACCCACCACCCACACCCCAAAAACCTTTACAGAATTAGAACTAGAAAAGCTCTTAGCTTAATATCCTTTTCCATAGCTGGTGTTCATTACCTGTATTCAGTCCCTGATAATTTATTCTTAGCTGTTCTCTTTTCTCTGAGTTTTACTCTGCCCACATATACATTGTTTCAATATACATATATGATTGGGCAGATTCTGCCTATGAGAGTAAATGTGGTGCCTTCTTTTTAGAAGTGTATGACCACAGTCAATATCCCTTTTTGAGTCCTTTTTTCCTCCCCAGATGAATAGTATTCCATTTTATACAATTTTCATAATCCATTCATCTGTTGATAGGTAATTAGTTTGATTGCAGTACTTTTCCTTTGGTGATTAAAATAGCAGGAAACATGAGGTATAAATAGCTCTGTGGTGGGTTGAGGTGTTCTCTGGGTATATGGTAGGGAGTGAAAGAGCTAGGTCGTATGTTAGGTCTCTCTTCAACTTTTTTCAATACTATCCAAATTGATTCCTGCAATCTCTGTTATAATTCGCACCCTCCCATCCATCAACAGTGAATAAGGATGCTTTATCTCCATATCCCCTTAAACATTTCTTGTCAGGTTAGTAGTTGGTGATAGTCATTCTGCCTGGGGTGAGGCACTATTTCAAAGTAGCTTTACTTTGCATTTCCATGGTGGCGTTTTGGAATTCTGAAAGCTTTTGCTTTCTTGGGAATTTAATTATTTTAGTTTTTGGTAAATTGTTGCTGTGACCCTTATCCGAGGTGTCACTGGTATTGATTCTCTTAGGTATACCATAAACAGTGTTTGATGTGCTTTTCAACTTCCTTCAATTGTTTTACCCTTTAGGGGCGAAGTGAAATATCCTTCAAAACTTCTGAAATTGTAATTTGCCTCTTTTGGCGTATGCATATTCTTAGGAAAAATTTGGATTACATCAAATATGGCAGATACCGATTTTTCTGTCTCTGCATAGTGACCCAAATATTCTCATCAGATTAATTCCATAAACTGCTTATCTTATATGTTAATGCTAAAACTAGCAGTGTGTAGTGCTGTTTCATCCTTGCTACTGTGGAAAAAATAATCTTGTCTATAAAATCAGTCATATGTTTTGCCTTCTACACCTACCCCTTTGTTATTGTATGATATGTCATTGTACCTAGAGTTAAATATCTCATCTGAACCTGTTACAATAGATTTATGTTAGGCCCAAGTAAACATATGCTTGATTGGTGTCAATGTTTTAGCATGATCTGTAGGTATAGCATTTAAAGAACATTATTTCATCATGAATTTTCCTTCTGAGACATGTTTGCTGTGATCCTGTGTAACATAAACACAGCATCTGTAACACATAGATAACTGTGTCCAGACCTTAAATGTATGTCTTGTTTCATGTATACTGCCTGTTTGTTTATTGAGACAGGGTGTCGTTTATCCCATGGCAAAAAAAAAAAAAAGCTTGTTTGTTTTTTCTCAAGACAGAGTTTCCTTGTGTAGCTCTGGCAGTCCTGGAACTTTCTCTGTAGACTAGGCTGGCCTCAAACTCACAGAGATCTGCTTACCTCTTCCTCCCCTAATGCAGGGATTAAAGTCATGTACCACCACTACCCGGCTTGTATACTTCTTTCTTTTTTTTTTTTTCCCGACTTAATTCATTTTATTTTTCTTGGATAAAAACCATTATGTGGTCACCACAGCTGGAGCCTGGGTCCTCTGAACAGAGTCTCTGGTGTGGGCTTTCACAAGATGGTCAGTGAATTCCTGATAAGGAGACTTGGTGAACACAGTCTCTTTCCAGAGGTCGGGGGTCAGGTAGCTGTAGGTCTTGGAGGTGGCATCAAAGGTGGCCTTGGCAAAGTTGCCCAGGTAAGCAGTGCAGCCCCTGGCTGATGTGTAACAGTCATCAATAGAGGCCAGCAGCCGCAGCTTTGTGGGCACAGGAGCAGAGACGATGCCATGCCTCTGGGGGCAGGCACGAGAGGCACCAACACAGAGCCACAGAGGCCTCTCACTTCGCATGGAACAGTGTGAGTGTGGCTTGCCAATCTTGTTTCCCCAGTAGCCTCTCCACACAGGCACAGAGGAAAGCTTGGCCAAGATGATGGCCCCTGGTATGGCAGTAGCTACCTCCTTGGAGCACTTGACACCAAGACCAACATGACCGTTGTAGTCCCCAGTAGCGACAAAAGCCTTAATGGGTAGGTAGAGCGCCTCCAGGGACTTGATCTTCATGTCCTTAACCAGGCGGCCCAGCATGGTGACAAGGATCTACTCCCTGTCTTTGGCTTTACCATCACAACCCTGCAACTTTGACCACTGCCAGGGCCTCGGCCCCTGAGACCATTGCAGAAGACTCTGGAAGCCCACCTTGGCCCTCTAGGCCCGGGTCCTCCAGGCCCTCCTGCTGCACTGGCGTCATCAGCCGTTTGGTGTTTCCCGAGTGCCGCTGTGCAGAAAGGAGATTTTATAGTGCATCAAGCGCCGAGACATCTCCACTGCCGCTTGTTTACTTTTAAGACTTGTGTCATCCTGTTTTCACAGAGTTAGAATATTCATGATAGAATAGGACTGTATTAGAAATCATCATTTTTAGTAATTACCATCACTCGGCTACATTCCATCTCTATATATCCAGGAAAGACATCCAGGTAGCAAGTGGTCAAACCATATGTTTTTGTTTCAGCGTCTGTTGACATTTGGGGATGTAGCTGTGGACTTCCCCCAGGAGGAGTGGGAATGCCTGGACTCTGCTCAGAGAGCTTTGTACATTGATGTGATGCTGGAGAATTACAACAACCTGCTGTCTGTGGGTGAGAACATTTTGCTTCTAGAATTCATCACCCATCATTTGTTTGTTCTGACTTCATAAAATGTAAAATCTGTTAAGCTGTGCTGAAAAAAACCCAACGAGAGTCAAGGCAAAGTTTAGTTGTTGGAAAGAACATTTTTATGCTATTCATTTTTCTCTTTCAATTTTCCATGTC